AAGAATAATAGAGAAATTTAAAAACCATCAGTGTGTATTGTGAAGAAATAGAGAAATAAGTAGTCTAACATACTGCTGTCCCACTCCATTTTTCGCCTGTTAAAAGTTGTACAACTCTTTGATTGGACGCTAGTAAGTAGTGTGATGTGTCTAGTCCTTTCTTTAGTGCAGAGTGAATTTAACCAGTCAGGTTTTGCAATGTGGTTACCATTCTAGGTAGTTCGCCATCACGGTGTACATTAATGTGACGATATAAGATGTTTGGAGGCAATCAGCAGGGAGCCTTGGCCATGCCAGGTTTCGGCCTAGTTGACACTCGTCAACAAGGCGTATCTGCAACCTTGTGTGATTCATTTAGAAAGAAATTATTAAATGTTTTTTGCAGGTATCTGATCTGTTTCAGGTTTCCCATGGATAGAATCAGTCAGAGAACCACTGGGAAACCAGGGAGTGCTGAGCAACCATTACGTCCTACTTTGGGTTTCTTTAAAGGTACCCATCAACCGCGGCTTAACGTCACATTCTGTCGGTTTCAAAGATGGTCCGTGGACCATTCACCCACTGGGAACCGATCGAATGGTCTATGTATTCCAATTTCTGCTAGTCAGAAATATATATAGCGTGAACTCCAGTCACCGCCTTTGCCAAGTACCTGTTGTGCTACCTGAATTGATGGACTCCTCTTATTAAGACTTCTATCTAGACGTCGATATACTTTCAATGTGGAGCCAGTCACTAGTAAACATCAGACTGATTTTCAAGCGTTGGCCTTCTGGGGTTTTTGATTGGTTACAAGTTCTGTCAACTAAGGCAAAATAACAGAATGAAATGGAGACCTACATTTGTGCAATATGGAACCACACAAGTGAAAATGTGGAAGTTAGATTTCGAGTATTCATTTTGAAACGCATCCGATTTATTTTCGACGTTTTGTCCTTAAAAAGGATATTTCTAAAATTCAAGCAGCTATTTAAGTGTGATAATTTACAGTCTAATGAATTCATGAGTTTGTTACATTATTATTTGTTACACGAACACATATTATTCTCACAAATAATTACAGAGAAAAAACACAGTTTCGAATAACTTTTTGAACTTCTTTTGTCTTTCTAGACAACAGATTCAGTGCGAAATTTGGTTTGAAATGAACTTATGTTTGAATTCTCCATGAATGATTTAATTGTACATATTGACGACCACTGTCGTGACCGGGTGTATTATTATCGTCGTTGGTATTGACAGGGAATTCGAATATTTTGTTGTGTGATTCACTTTTAATTAGCTGATAAATTTAGCGCATAATAATGTGTCTGTTAATTTGTGTGATTCGTTTGAGTGCCGGGTTCCTAGGAATTCTGTAGTAATTTTGATGTTTCCCAGTCAAACTGATGTCCATATTTGTCTACATGCATCGATATGAAGGAGTAAATATCGTCTGTTTTGACTATAGGAAATGTATAGTACTGAGTGAAATGATTGTATTCGTTTGTGTGTCTGTTCTTAATGGTTTTAGTATTCCAGCCATTATTTCAAAAACATTTCATATGTGATTCGATGAATTTTCTTATGGTTTCTGAGGATGGTTTCTTGATGGTGATTTGATTCAAGTTCAAACATTTCTCTGGTGAAGCCAAAGAGGTATTTTTTTCGAATAACGTCCTCCAAGTGTTAAGAAATCAGAAATAACAAAGTAATGACTAGACTATTAGCACTAGTCGAGTGTGTCTGATGTTCACTTTATGACTCCGATGGTATAGACGTAAATTCATAAACATGCTAAAAACAACTGTGATTTTACTATAATCACAGTGTGAGACCAAGAGGCTCTTGTGAAGTTTGAGAAACGTTTATTCCAAGAAACGTCGATTTAATTATAGGCACAATTACGATGGATTATGTAAAGCTATCTCATTTAATCATACATTTAATTACAGAATGAAAATTAGTTACACGACTAAAAATGGATCCAGTCTCTACAATAGTCACTCTATAAAATACAGGTACAAGGGATTATAGCATATGATTAAGGATCCACGGAACAATAAGAAAAACATCGACACAGTAATGCTGTAACGACAGAAGACAAGGGTCAGGCAGCAGATCGTTTATTGAGAAAATCAAGAGATATTTATCGACTTTGATGTACATTATTGTCAGCGGAAAAGTAACGTCTGGTTGGTTGTTTTCTTGCTGAATGTTATTCTGCTCTGCTTGTGATATTTTCTCAGAAAGTTAAGTCATAGAGATGTTAATCTTATTTACACACGTTAAGTCTGCTGTGATTGTTTGATGAGTTCCTTAAGGTTAAGCTTTGTTCTCCTCACGACATTGATTCAGGACGCGACATTGACGTTAATTGCTGTTTACAATTCTTAGTGGTAAATACATTGAACGCTATTTTCTTCTGAGAATGATTAGAATTCCAACAGAAAATAGCAGTGGAAAATTCACTTCAGTGTACCACTTTCTGTGATAGTATTAAGTGATTAATTTTCGGGCAAAATTATCTTTTATCAAAAAATGAATGAGAAACAGTGCGATGGTTTTCTTTTACTGACATTTCGCTATTTAATAAAGTTGACAGCTTTATTGAAATAACCAAATCAAACGACTAAATAGGATGGTAGTTGTCCTAAATATTTTGCATTTGCAGAAATTAGAATCCATGGGCTGACTACTGAGTGGGGTCCCATTGGCTGGAAGTTCCTGTGATCGAACCCTGGTGGCGGGTGTGAACTACTGAATAAGACTCTCATACTAGGACGAAATAGCTGTCAAATAATTTCCGGTTTTCAAGTGTTTCGTTAGCTATTGTAACTCAGACCAAAAACTTTGAACTCGGTGTAGACATCTGTTTGTTATTCATTACAAAATAGACTTTCTACTAGGCCAGTCAGTGCTAGAGGTCGGTTTGTCTTTGTTGGTGTCAGGATCCCTTGTACATATTTAATACATTCTGGGAAAGCAAAATGCACTTGTTCATTTACTGGTGAAATATTCACCTATACGACTTGAGTATCACAAGTCAGGTAAAATGACTTTCTTACTCAAAATAGACAACAAAAAGGTGATTGAGAATAAATTTGCTTTCCTTCAAATTTTATGTACATTTGGTAGTATGAAAAACAAAATGTTAACAAGCTGAAACAAGGCTGCTTACATGAGATGACAACAACTAGTTAAGAAACAATAGAACGATAAGAGTGACTGCTCAACACGCACACATGCTCACATACACACGCACACACATAAGGTGGTGTTGAAATGCTTACTCCCCACATTAATCCACACATATTTTGAAGATGCTTAGATCACTAAGTAATCTGGTTTTGTAAAGTTACTAATATTATTTATGTTAAACAGAGATAAAATATTCTTAGAGTCATGTGTGAAAAAAACGAATACAACCGGAAAAATAGTGACAACGAAATTAAACTGATCTGACTTTTAGGTGTTGGTTTGTCCAAGAGATGACTTCAGTTGGCGAACCGTGGACCACCACCATGGAGTGGTGGACAACTGTTTCCTTCTCGTTTGGGACTCTTCATAAGTGCTCACCTACGACCTCACAACCAAGGGTCGAATCCAGGGCCTTCAGACAAAACAATGAGCTGGTTGACCGATCAGCCATCGGTATTTAAAAGTTCCTTAACTGTATTCAGTTCGAGATTAATCCTGAAATCGGTCAATTCCCTGTTGAGTAACACTTGAAAATTAATCTAGTTCTCGCCAGTGACTAAATGTTGAATGCATTTGCACGGAGTTCTAGTTGGAAGTCGTGAACATCGAGATATACCAAGCTGGGTATGAGGACTAATACCGACTGACTGTTGGTTGCGCTATCTATTGCGAATTGGAAGAAGCTAAAAATGATGAGCCAATACATTTTGTCCCAGTGGCTGAATGAACATTGAGCTCACCTTGTAACCTGTAGATCCTGGATTTGACCGCTGGTAGATTCATAGGTGTACACTGCTGAGAAGTAAAAATTGAGGATAACACAGCCGTCCAATACCCTATGTGGATATTCAGTGGTTATCTAACTGAATTCACTCTACATTGGATTGTTGTGATAGGAATAGCCTCATAACTGATGTCTTGGTCAAATGCTTTTAAAACTAAATCCATTTAATTGTCACAATACTGATTTGACTTTCAGATATGAAAAAGACCTGCGTTGACTGATTCAGTTTTATGATTCATGTAATACTGATGGCACTTTGACAAGGAGTAAATCCAATATCTCCTATCTTGTTATAAGTTTCTCTCCAAGGTGTTTTGGTTGTCTTATATGTTGTTCGTTTCTAAGAATTTCGTTCATTTGACTTACTACTTAAGGAAAATGACACTATGGCATAATTTAACTTCTTTACGTGCAATTTATTATTTCATTTATTCTGTCCATGTTCCCCCTTGTTATTTCCTGGGCTTTTCAAAACAGACTATTTCGTATTACATAAAACACTCAATGCTGTTAGTAGGGTAATTGTGTATCTTGTTGTCGTTGAGAATTTTAATTCTTGCAAGCAGTTAGCCTGAAACCGAACATCTTTACTCGAAACTTTCTCCTTGTATCTCAGGAGCAAGTTTCATAAAAAATTGAAGTTCGCAAGGCTACTAAATATACAAATTCAGCGATACCATATTTAGTACAGATCTCGTGTGAACAGGCAAATGCCAGAAACGAACTTTTAAATCAGTAAATAAACACTAAATTCAAACCAGAATTATGACTGTTGCGTATATTCTTCTTCTGCTAACTTTAAAGTTTTGAGGTTTCATTATTCTCATTATTTTATATACTTATCTGTAAGAAGAGACAAGTTTGTTCCAATATGTACAACACTGAAGATTCCATTGTGCCTTTGGAAATCTCTGTTTTGAATAAAGTGAATATTACAATTATTACATTAATTATTTCATAATCACTTTTGAAATCTCACAATACTGATCAGGTTAATTTGTTTTTGTTTTTTTGTTTCTATTTTTGAAAATTCTAGTTGCTGCAGAAAGTTTTGATCCAGAAAAAGACAGTGATGAAAATAATGATGAAGAAAGGCAAATATATCCAAAATCTGACAGCCAACGTGCAAGACTAAGCAATGCAGTGAAAGAAATTCTACTGTTCCGATGCCTTGATGAAGTAAGTTGTTTCTTTCATGTATATGTCGGTGGATGTGTTTTTGTGCTTTTCACTTCATATATGTAATGTGATATGACTTGTTGTGTAATTCACCTTAGCAACAGCAAGAATGATTCCAACTGCACAACCCAGTCATATGGCTTGCTTACTCTCATATTTGCACATTTAGCACAAATAAAATTGCACTACCATATATAAAGGACATTTCAAAAATCCCCGAAAGACACTTCAAATGTTTAGGAATTGACGTCTCACATAAACCAACAAAATCACACCACTCAGCTCTATGTCAAACAAAAGACTCAGCAAGCAAAGAAGATAAAACCAACATCATCTACAAAATAAATTGTAAGGACTGTGAAAATCAACACATTGGCCAAAAAGGATGACGTCCTCTTCGTCTTCTTATCCATGATCACAAACTAGCCATCAAAAGACATGTCATCCATTCACTCCCTCATATCGCCTCACTGCATACACACAACCACGGACATCAATCCGACTGGAACGAGGTTTAAATATTTGACATAGTAAACACCAAGAATGCTAGAGAATGGTTAGAAGCCTTCCTGGTATTCCAGAGAATCGTAAGTCATTAGACACATCGACATAGACGAAATTAATCAATCAAAAAGAAGTAAGTCTCACACAGAAAGGATCTAACTTCAGGTGGAGGAAACAATCAGCGCGAATACCAATACAAGAAGCATAGAGGTTGTGAAAACACACAAAAAGAACTAATCAAGTTCAAAGTTACCATCAGGAGAGGTGACCAGTGAACTCGTGGAGAAATCTAAGCGCTCACTTCACCAAATTGATATATAAGCTGAATATGTTTCCTGGTAGGACGATGAAAGCTTCTCAAATAAACCATCCAGCTAGCTCAGGGAACCCAACTACATCAAACAAATTTATGAGTAACACACATAATATACTCCTAAAAGTGCAGTCATTATTATCTCGTTTTATATAGCTGAGCAATTAAACTTCATTCTCCGTTTAAAATGCGACGGCAAAAACTTAAAAGCAATTTATTTTCCTGAACCGAAATTATTTTTAAGTAATGCTTTGTAACAGAGATTAGTTGTTCTCAGTTAATCTTATGACAAAACAAAGGGAGCTGTGAATAAGCAATCCCTTTAGTATGATAATTCTGTAGTCAGATTTTAATCGCATCTCTTCACTCCACCCCATATCCTTCTTTACACTGATGAAATAATGATAAATCTAGTGAAAATAAAATAAAACCGTAGGTGGAAAAATATCAATTACTATTCCCTTGGGTTCGGAGAGGAACATAGGGATTTTACAGTACATCTTCATTTCATCGTGTATTCTGAAGTCTCTTTTGCCTGACCCTGCCATTATCGATTAGCTCTCATCTCTTCCTCACACAATCCTCTCTATGTCACCATTGAACACATTCTTACCTTGTCCTTTGATATACACAGGACAGCTAAAATCTCTGGGCTACCTGAATTTAACTCCATCAAAATGCTTAAATTGTTCTGTACTTCTTATTGTTTTAATGCTGCAATTAAATCATATGAATGCAAATAAACTCGCGCGCATAATAAACTAGACGCTATGCAATTCTTGAACGAAATGAAGAAAAAATATGCAGAATTGGACTCTGTTCATAGTCAACAACGTTACGTTATATGGTTTACTTCAGATTATTATTTTATATTTAAATCCTGTGAGAAATGGAAATATTTTGGAATTTGTGCATTCTGTGTTCATATATTGTCTGAAATAAGGCTTTATTATTCCTACTCAAGCGATAGCCTAAAGTGTAATGTCGCTCAACGGTCTATTCAGTGTGTTTTCAATCAATTACTTTATAAACAAACTAATTGTAGCAGATTAATCAAGTTGTGTGCAAAAAATTAAATCTCCACAGGATGAGAAACAATGTGAAGACACACTTCATTATAAGACGTAGAAGGAAATAAGTAACAATCAAATTGTAGGTGGAATGTATATGTAAATGAAGTGTGTTCACAACAGTGGTGAATATATTGACAGAGACGGTAACTCCACACACACACACACACACACACTCCTACACAAAGTGACATCATAAATATTTATCCAATGAAGGCGTAAAGGAAACCGGTTTCACTCAAATCCAAATACTTTACTGCTGTAAATCATTATTAAAAATGCATTATTTTTTGATTTTCTAAGAGAATAGTGGAGAAGATAAATCTTGATATTGTACTCTGTTAAGTGACCGCTTTAATCGAGAAGCTTTCGTCATCTTATCTAACGACATCTTCAGCAGGAGCTTCAGTATGACATCAGCCTATTAGAATTCCCCATAAATGAATAATTGTATTACTTGATAAACCTTTGTTGTAACTGCTTCATAGTTCGCACTGTAATTGGTCGTTTTTATTAACTTGTAACATGAATTATTTTCTCATATAGCTTATTCTTTATTAGTTGATAAATTTTATCTATGATAATGTGTCAGTTAATTGTTTGAGTGCGAGGCTTTTAAAGTCTCTCTCGCATATTTAGTATTTGTATTGTTTAAAATTTCCTTGTCAAATGATGTCTATAATTGTTTATATGCATTAATATGAAATAAAACATGTCGAGTCGTTGACTCTAGTTAGCTCAACCCAAAACTAAACTACCTAATGAGCTCATCGATGGCTTTATGCAGCCATTCAGATGAATCCATCGTATCTAGGCGGAATTATGAGTGCTGTACATGAATTATATAGGAAATTTTATTCAAATGTATTACTTAAGTACTGCTTAGAAAACAGGCTCATTGGAAAGGGGAAAACGTGTAACTAACTGTCATCCTTGAGTTATATTCACAAAGTGTTCAATCATAATGACGATTTTGCTAATCCTTTAGATGAGACTGACACAGAAGACATCGAAAGTTTCTAGAGCCACCCAAAAAAGGCGGATTAAGGCAGTGAAAGAGTCGAGAAACACAATGATTTACATTTATATCGACGAAATTATGTATCGAAATTGGCTACACCTAACTATGAGGACTCCTATGCGGAATAGGGAGGTTTTTTTGGAAATTATACAAGAACATTATCCCATGTAACTACTTTTTAAAATTTCATGCTGACGTTCAACAATACATCTCAGGAATGCTAAAGCTTCAATGACTTTGAACGCCTGCCAGCAGTTGGTTAACAGCACCTGTCATTATCAGAGCTGAAGTATCAACTCTATTCAATAACTTAGTAGAAAGTTTCACTCGGATCAAGTTTTTAAATACTGTTTGGACACTGTGTTAATACCACGTTAGGGTTAGGATTAGGGTAAGTATTTAGGTTAAGGTTCAGACCAGGATTATAATTAGGATTAGGTTTAGGTTTAAGGTTATGATAAGGGTTGGAAATAGGGTTAGGGTCAAGATTAAGGTTAGGGTTACGATTATGGATAGATTCAGAGTTGATGACATTTATTTAATATGTTTCACCATTCACATTTTCCTGGTAACTAGTCGTCGATCCTCTGGCTGGAAACATTAGTAATTCAACCGACGGCATTTAGGAAAGACTGAAAAACAGGATAATAGCAAGTCATACAAAAGCTCACCTTACGTTATGTCTATGAATACATTTATAGAAACTGTTTTCACCTAAACCTGACACTCCTTATTATAACTGGGATGTATTTTTAAGTCATGTCAGAGAAAGATACCCGGTTTAACGTGTTTTCATGCATTTTCTTGTAAATATACGTCATTTTTGTGCAAACGTTCTTCATCTTAATATTGGTCGACTCAAGGTCACTCGTGCTTTCTCATTCCTTCGGATGCTATTGCTGAAGTTTACCCATTGCATTGCTTGTTCTGTAGACATTTTTTCAAATTATGCACTTCTGCTTTGAACATGTCCGACTGGTCGATACAGTTCCGTCAAGTTCTTTATTAGGTAGTTTCTTGTTGGGCTGCTATAGTTTACAGTCACTGTCTAGTCTTTTGTAAGTTGGTCTGTGTTTCTAGATTTGCAGCTGTAAGGGACGGCCCACTCTGACTAGTATAGTGCTTAACACAGTTCATGCAATTTTATTTGTTTATCATGTCTTCTTTTAATGTTAATTAGGTATTCTAGTTGATATATTATTGAATATTTCTATAGTTTTTTTGTAAGGATTAGTTATGTTTTACGAGTTGATCACGGATTGATATCGTTAGAGAACCATTGAAAACCAGGGAGTACTGGACAGCTGCTGTTTCATCCTAGTCTGGGAATCATCGGCAGTACGCACCCAGGTTTCGAACCCAGGACCTTCGGTTACAAGACAAGCTATTATTATTGAATAAATTAACTGTGTGTTGGTTTGCATGTGATATTTTTTCCTAACTGCCTTAGTATTCTAGCCGTTGAAAAACGAATGATTAAGCAACCTCTTTCTGAGCAGAGAGTGTAAAGTTTAATAGCTGAATCACTAGTACCCCTTTAGAGTACTTGTTTCGGTATTTGGCGCTCCTTCATGGGTGATTTTAGAAGGTGATTATTTCGTAGCTATGTGACTTAGTATGTGCCTAGTAACCTCCTTCTCGACAATCTTGTTCGAACACGTTATACAATCAATTGAAATACCCAGACATCGTTGAAGCATCTGCACAAGAAGCCGACATGTCAACCTGGGACCGAGCACTTCGGTCCAATCAATCGACGGGAAAATCAAAAATTCAATTCAATAATTAATATGACCCGTTGCACAAGAGGTGGCTCTCGTGGCCCAAGTGGTCTAGTGGATAACGCTTTGGCGTTTGAAACTATGGGTATTGGGTTCGAGCCTCGGTGGGAACATCATCACTCACTGAGAAGTGCAGGTACATCCAGTGACGAGTCCCAAATAGGACGAAATGTGCATCCTGGATTCCACTGCAAGCCACCATCCATCAATTGTATACGTTATACAATGCACTAAAAAAGCACATAATTTTTGCAGCCAGTGTAACTACCTGAAAAGAAAAAAGTTAAACTTGCAGACGAACAGGGAATTCA